AAAGTTAGATCTTGAAGATATAGACTTACGTTTGAATGCCAAGTCCTAGCGCTTCCAGTGGCTCCAATCTTCTCCAACATTCACCTGAAACAAGTATGAAATCATCATCGCCCAACATCTGCATATCATTTCACCTTTGCTCCTTGATGTGTTTCCACGAATGAACTCCTTTCACGATCGGGTAGTTATCCTTCACACAGTAGAAATGTCCGCAACTAGAGCTCTCTCTGAACAATACGTAACTGGGGTCGAATATTCGGTCCAACTCTGCAAATAATGGAATTATGCTTGATGGAAGCTTCTCAAATCACTATGTACCTGATTATTCGCTTGTCTATCACTACGTACGTTAGTACGATATCCTCTAAGCACAACACTTCTTCTTCAGTTGGTGAGTGTTAGACATCTGAGAATAACAATTACAATCGAAATGATAATTTACCTGCGTACAACCAACAGAATAGCTGGAGATCGAGACTAGGGCTTCATTCTCCCAGTGGATCGCTATCGGCCAGAGAATCTAATTATTAATAAGCTAATCTACTGTTAGTCACCTATATCGCGCAATATTCGTACATCGCAAGTGAACTACTCTCATCAGCTTCGTTGAGTAGATTTCCTGAGGTTGAACTGACCCGGACAATCAAAACAAAAAACAAGATTCCAGTTCGATCAAGCTTCTGCTGAGCTAAATACATATAGACTAAACTATCCTTACAGTCTCAGTGAGTTCTAAAGTGTTTTCTTATTTCAAAACACGGCATACAGTCGTGATGATGATGAATGAGATGAGAAGAATAAAACTTGTATCAAGTTCATTCTTGACTTTCTATTCAAGTGAGCGGCGTGTTTGACTCTGCAATTGACTGAATCTTATACCTCTGCTCCAAACGATTCAAATAGGATGAATCTTTAAGCTGATCCCTAGAATAAGACAAACATGAATATGGAAAGACATCACAAACCACTGGTAGTTTCTAACCGAATCATTCTGCACCCCATCTGATTGGTAGGAAAGCACATACAATGTCCGATTTCAACACCAAGAACTGGAAAGAACACTTTGAAGGTCTCAAGAACAAGGTATGTAAACGTGGAGCAACACCCTCAATTTTGAACAATAGAGCTCTTTTCTTGACTTCCGCCTGATTGCCGAAGTGTGAAGTGAAAAGTCTTTTTCTTTTCAAAATCAAAAAGTATCATTCGAGTCAACGAGTTCATATGACAAGGATAGAGTGGAAACAGTTTATTGGAAATAAATAAATAGAACAATAGACGCTTCATTCTGTTATCCTTTTACAGCTGAGCCGACTGAGATACTCTTGACAGCATCTTTCCTTCTCTTAGGAGCCTCTATGGCAGAACATTCTTCAGGTGTTGTTTCAGATTTGAAATGAGAAGCATCAGAGGAAACTGCCAACTTCTCACTGTCGTTGACTACCTGTAATCAAAAAGAATTAGAAAACGAAAGTTATATTACGAACTTACTCCTTTCAATTCATCTGCGTTACCCAAGTGGAAAGTTGATCATGAAACCAGAAGGCCTTGAGTAATTTGAATGAACGACAGACATACCAAGCCAGAATCATTCGATGAAGACCGTTGTACGATCATGTACGAATGAAGCGTAGCAACGATCATCGTTCGCCTGCAATGAGTTGAAACTGGCTGAGCAAAACAAGGAAAAGCATCTAATCTAAGGAACGGAGAGATGTCTCTGATGGGTCACGTCAGGAGCAATTTTGATTATCACATTTTCATGAAAATAACGACTAAAACAAAGAAAATTAACAGAAATAAGCTTGAAAAAATAAAAAAAAATTAAAAATTAAAAAATATTTTTGGAATTTTAATTGGTCCCGACACGATTTCCACAACGAGGGAAAAAA